CCACTGGCCTCTTCTTCTCCCTACATCCATCCGTGCATATCTCTCTCGCTCGCTCTCTCTCTCTCTCTCTCTCTCTCTCTTTCTCTCTGCTGAAGACGTCTCATCGCTGCTCTGTGTGCTTCCCTGGCTTCTGCATGTGAGTTATTCTGCCTCAGTTTGTGTGTTTATACAATTTCACAGGGGTCCGATGTGGTCATTGCAGACTGTACTTTTTCCTGCAGCTTGGTTCGTGTTTTGTGTCATGTAGACAAGTAAGCCAGACATGTGGTTGAATCTGTGGTGGGGATCTGCTTCCTCTCTTCTCCTCTTGTTCATATCTCTGCTCCTTTTACTCAGCATTAACGGGTACATTTTCTGCATCTGTCAGACATAAGTGAGGAAGAAGTTGTGAGTAGACTATTACCTCTTAATTTGGAACATTTAGAGGAATAATAGATGACCATACACACTTGAAATAGATCTCATCTGGTCCTCAAATTAACTGGCCACAGCAAATATGCACTGGCAAAGACAAAATTACAGCCCCTGTCTAGGGTAAAGTTGAATCCAAATGCGTAAAGCTAACATTTGTATGCCGTAGAGCTAATGCTAAATGACAGCTGGCAACATCTGCTTTTGTTGGAGGCAACACAAAAAATGCTGCCCTGCCTTAATATTTATTTTCTTGTGGCTGAAGGGCAGACGGCTTGGTTTTTGGCTTGGCAGCAGTGTTGGCACATTGTGGGTCAGCATGGTGTAGGAACTGACATTAAGGGGGGGGGGGGCACCTCTCTGGTTTCTGCCACTTAGGAAGAGAGGTCGGCAGCGCGGCGAAGACAGGAGGGTTTTTATTTCAGGGTGAAGCAGTATTTTGGACTATTGATTAGCAGTGGCTGCTATGGACAAAATGTGTCTTGCGCTAGTCAGCACAGCGTTATCGCGAAAGGGATATGTATGTTTATTAATGTCTGAAAATAGATATTAAAAATAGTTTTTCAGATCAGGCATTTTAGAGCAGAGATGATCAACAGAAAATGAACCAGCAAACTATTTTGACAAAGGATTCATTGTTTAAGTCCTTTTTTAAAAAAAATGCCCCAAATCCCACTTTGTGAAGATGTGAAGATTAGATGGGTTTATTTTCTTCTATGAAAATAAGCTGAAAATGTTTGAGTTTGGGACAGTTGGTTGAACAAAACAAGCAATTTCAATATGTCACTCCGGGCTTTAGGAAAATATGATGGGCATTGAAAAAGTAATTAACAGATAATGAAAATAATTAGTTGCAACCCCTAGTTAGTTAGTAATGACTTTTGCAAAGTACAATATCTCAATATGAGGATTTAAAACAATACAAATATGTAGTATATAAATTATGATGTTAAATTATTACCAGCCCTAGTATTGCTTATCATGGTAGACTCATAGCCAGACACATAGTTAGTCTACCCTCATAGCGCTGCACACACACACACACACACACACACACACACACACACACACACACAC